CCCCCCCCCCCCCGCCCGTGCGCACGTACGCTTACCGCCATTGGCAGATGTGCGACCCCCCCCAGGCCCCGATCGTGCCGGTGGTATGCGGCAACATTGACATGGTGCTCTCTACCGGGGTCAACACTGGTGAAGGCGAAAAGGTAATCGGTGCGGTGTAAACATAGAAGGAGGCGTTATTTTTGTTTGCGCCGCAATGTTAACATTTCCTCGTCAGCGACTAGATAACTTGATTGTTGTTTTTTGAGGCCCTAGCGACTGCTTATGTTTTTTTTAGGCTCAACAGTTGCCGCTTTTGTGTTTCCTCTCCTCTTGGGCTGTTTCCGCAGAAGTTTGCGTATCTCTCTTTGTTAAGCCTCTCTTTTGGTTGTCCCTAGCGTCAACACCATGTAGACACGCGATGGGGGTCGCACGCGAATTTTTTGTCTCGTTAGAGGTGCTGCCCGGATTTTTGAAGGAAAGTCCTGTAAGGGTCAGAGTGATGATCTATTGCGACCGGCGACGGGTGCGCGCCAAGTAGGGTAGATGGATAACCCCCGAACGTCAAGGCGTATTATTTTCGTGTCCAAGTACAAGCCGTGTAGGCTCGTGGATGCTCCATCTACCGTCCTCGTTTGGTGGTGTCAACTCGGTGATTTTCGTTCGTGTATTCCCTCTGGGCGGAAAGTTGCGGTGTGGGTCTTGCATAAATTGGGCCGTTGTCGGATATCGCCTACGGAACTTTGTAGTTTCTCCAGTCTACAACTAGCCTCAAGTGATCTCTGGCACATAAAATTTGTGGAGGCGTTTGCGTGGACGTCGGAAACGGTTGTTGACAGCAGCAAATCAAAGGGTGACTCACGCAAACCTGAACCTTTTGGAGGACTCGAAACGGTAGTGGACGACGGAGAGAGGTACGGGTCACTTCGCTCTCGTGCAGGGTACCAGTACCTTTTTCGCGCCATTCCAGTATCGCGCGGGTCACTGGTCGCTTGGCCCCAGAAGACTTGAGCCGCACAAGATCTGTGTACCAGGCTTAAAACAGACTCAATATTTGTCCAGTTTCGACCGGTTTCCCCCCACACGCTGAAAGGCCTGAGCACACCCGCTTCGACTACTGCTGTAGCTGTACATGTCTCTGATAACGGTAGTCTCTCTGTGTTCCCTTGTTTATTTTGTAAATATCTGGACGAGGGGTGAAAACCGCTTGCCGCCTTCTCTCCTGCAACTCCTGTTGAAGTCAAACTCCGCCCCCGACCCCCGACTTTTTCGTTCACAGATGTCGTATTCCCATGAGGAAGATGCCTCCTTGATGCACATGAAGCACGTGGCGGGCGACGAGATTTGGCTCAAGGCCAACCCGGGCAAGCAGGGGCTCCTCACCGGCAGCTTCCATCCCATGTCCGTGTAAGTTGCGGGTCCCCGTATCAGGCGGTGGTGGGGCGGCTGATAGTGACCGCCTTATATGCATGCATGGGGGAGCCGCCTCTTATTCGATGTGTAGGACAAATTGGTTGTTCGGACTATGCCAGCCAATTTCACCCGCCTCATGTAGGCCAACCGCCTTCTTCCGGGACCTCCGCTGACACGCGGCACGTTGGAGCCTGCCTAAACGGGTCGTACCGTGGGTGGTAATGGGACGGGACGTTCGTGTTTTGTTTACCGTCCATTGGAACGGTACCTCCCACTAGTAAACGCCACTGGAACCGTAAAATGGGATTCGATTAGCCTGCTGTGGTCTTTTGCGCCACCAAACGCATCGTGCAGCCAGCCTCCCAGAGCATTGGCCGCATGTTGGGCCCAACCGCCGCGGCCACCAGCTTGCTGTTTAGGCAGTGTCAATCGCGCTCTCTTTGTAGTCGCATGGAGAATACTCTTGGAGGTGTGTCTCTTGGCAAGAAGCGAAAAGTTTGATGCGACACGTTGCCAGGGCAAGTGTGTGTGTGTGTGTGTGTTTCCCCCACGCCCTGAAACCTCGAGGCACCTTTTTTTTCAATCTGAACTCCCCCCCCCCCCCCCC